CCCTCTTACAGGATTTATTGCTGTCTGTGTCCACACTAGGGATACTGACATCATTTGGTTTTTTCAGGATTTTTTCCTTTTCATATGGTGATCCCGCCAGTAACACACTTCTTGTTCTACGTTGACAGTGCTGTGCTGTACCTTTTGGATAGCAGCATTTCCACCCTAGGACAAGAATACAGGACCCCCCCTACAATTACAGACAGAGAAAGTTATCAGCTAACAATATTTCTGGCAAGATCAACAGTGTTTTATTTTTACGTTCATTTAATGGCTAACAAAATGCTATCAATGGTGTATAAATAACAGGCCAAGAGGGAACAAACGAGTTCATTCTTTGGGCTTCCATACACTTTATTCATTTAAACTATTATTTCTAATCTAAGAAGGGCACAATATCCTTTAAAATCATAGGACAGCTGTGTGTTCATTAAAACCGTGCTCCCTCCCTCCCTCCCCCCTCTCCTCCCCCCCCCTCCCCCCCCTCTCCCCTCCACCCCCCCCTCTCTCCCCCCCCCCTCTCCCCCCCTCTCTCCCCCCCCCTCTCTCTCCTCTCTCCCCCCCCTCTCTCTCCTCTCCCCCCCCCCTCTCTCTCTCTCTCCCCCCCCTCTCTCTCCTCCTCCCCCCCCCCCCCCCCCCTCTCTCAACAGTTTCAAGCTTTGTGTTCTTTCCCAAGTCAGTAGAAGAAAGATCTGATACAATGAGGAAGGTTAGTTGCATTGTATCAAATCTGTTTTTCACTGGTTTGAGAAAGAACAAAAAGCTTGAAACTGTTGCCACTGAATTTGTAATGTAAAATCTTAATCTAGGTTCATACTTGTGCAGCGCGCCAGACGCATTCTTGTGCAAATCACATGCAATGTCTGTGCGGTGTGCAAAAGGCGCAGGACCCTTTTTTTTTCTCACACTTGATTTACATCACATGGAATGGGAATTCTGGCAGTCTCACTGTGTTTTGTGATCTGTTTCAGGGTGTCATTAGTTTAACATTGACACCTGCACCAGATTGCACTTTCTTTTTTTTTTTTTTTGAATAGCATAAGGGAGGGGGTATAACCCCCGTCAGTTTATTTTTTGCTATCTGAGTCCCATTGAGAGAATTTCCTTCACTTCCTATCCCATAGCCGAAACAGGAATGGAGAGGAAATCCCTGCAAATTAAGGGAATTTCTTGGAAACCCCAGGTCATCATGAGAACTAGTGTCCCCATTTGACGTTTTTCCCTCTGTTACTTTTCTGGGGACAACCCAAAATTTTGGATTTTCTTTTATCTTCACTTTCAGTGATAATGGTAAACAGGACAAATATATAGAGGGTGAATCTCCCTATCAGGGACACAGACAGCAATAAAAACTGGCAGGGGTTCTAATCCATCTCCACTCTATCCAAAAGTTAAAAAAAACAAAAAACAAAAACGTTTGGTCTCTAGCTGTACTTTTAAAGTGGAACTTCATCCAAAAGGGAAAGTTCAATTTTTCTTCCTCCTCCCCCCTCCTCTACCATTTTTTTTAAATCTTATTTTTGAGGGGGAGAAAAAGTTCCCCCCCCCCCCCCCCTATGCCCACTTTCTTCAAGGACACATCACAGGTCCCAGGAGGCTGTGAGAACGATCAGAGGGCACAGTGCGGCTTGCGCATGCTCAGTGGGGAGCCGGCTGAGAAGTTGCATGGAGTCAGAGCCGGCTTCCCACAGTTTATAATGCCCATGGCGAGGACCTAAAAACCAGCGAAGAACCAGCCCAGGTGAGGACAGCGCTGGATCTTGATACATGTGAGTGTCTGTTTGTTAAAAGTCAGCATCTACAGTTTTTGTAGCTGCTGACTTTTGATTTTTGGAAACCTGGCTGAAGTTCCTCTGTAAATAAGTTTCACCATAGTGCTGCAATCCCTTTGTGTATACCGGATCACTGGACCGGTCCTTAATTGATGAGCATCAGAGGCTGATCACCTAATGTGATATCAGATTTAAATAGCTAAACGGCGCCATCTGGTGATAATGCTTTTTTTTTTTTTTTGCACGTACAGAATTCTCTGTATAGTGGAGAGCACAGCAGCCAAAATATGAAGCTTAGAGCGGCAATAATCCTAAAAGTAAACATTTTATGTTGCACTTTACCAATTCTTAGAGGTGATGGCTGCATTAGTTTTCTTTTTTAGGCTTTCTTCTATTTTCATCTAACCAGTAAGTATGTTTCTTTTTCAAAAGAGCAAGCTCTCTAACAGATGTCAGTTACACAAATGAGACAAACCATTTAACACTGGCAGGAGTGCTTACATGATCAGTTTTATGTATTTATTTAGCACCCTTATAGTTTGCTGTAACTGTTTATAAAGTGTCAGCAGGAGTTTGGTTTTAGTTTGTTAGTGTGTTTAAATCTGCTAGTACATCTAACACTCCCCTCCCCCCAGACTGACAGTGCTACAGTCCAAAAGTGCTCCCTGTGCTCCTTCATCCACTCTAATATAGAAAGTGTGTTACTGGCCAGATTAGCAGGTGAAAACAGAAAAGAAAAAAGCCTTAAAGAAAATGCAGCCACTACATCGAATGATTGGTAAGCTGCAATATATTAACTTTTTGGTTTTGAGGTTTAATACTCTAAAGTTATTGGATTTCTTCTTCTAACCATAGCCTGACATGCCATTATTGTACAGGTCCTGCGTTCCATTCCCCCAGGGTTCTGTCTTTGTGGAGTTTACATGTTTTGTTTTGTGTGGGTCTCCTTGGATAGGCATCTGCCCCCGAAGGAGCTTACACTCCAGTGTCTCCACAACCCTCGTATAGACACACACCCTGAGGCTGTTTTAGGTACCCATATGTTTTTAGTTGTGGCGGCTGAGGCAGTTTTTTACAATGAATACATACAGATTATTATGGTTTCCTGAGTAGTCACCGACTGTCTGGATATAACCTGTGATTTCCTTCTGTTATTAGAAGTACCAGCAGGACATGCTCAGGAGCCTATAATGTGAACTCGGCTCATCTACTAAGTATCTGGTGTAATGTTGGGTTAGGATATCTCCTAGATTGTAAGCTCTAATGAGCAGGGTCCTCTGTTTTCTCTCGTGTACCAAATTGTATTGTAACTGTAATGTTTACCTTCATTTTGTAAAGCGCTGTGCAAACTGTTGGCACAATATAAATCCTGTATAATAATAATTATCGTAATATTAAATGGCTCCGTGTTAGTGTGAGAAACTGGAACTCTTGTAAGAAACCCACACAAACACAAGGAGAGCCATGTTGGTAATTTCATGGTGGGAATACCAGCGCTGTAATATTCATGTAGACAGAGGCATAGATGGACATGTACAGTACTTTTAAATAGATTTTAAGTAAGAGATAAGCAAATTAAAGCTCTAACACTTCTGTAGCGGTTACAGTAATAGTTTTCTTTTCACTTTTTTGAAGAATGGTTTAAATCATGTAGATTAAAGTGTTACTAAACCCAGGATTCACTATATCTGGTCTCCTACAGTACACAGAACATGTAAATGCAATTAATTTAGTAAATATAAACTGCTAAACGCCTTTTGCTCATTAGCAGTATATAGCTGTCTTGTGACTTCTATCAGTGTGCAGCTGGGCACTGATTAAAGCTTGTAGGAGGAGTTTTCATTCTCCTCTGACTGTCCTGTGAAGCTGCATGGCTCCTGATCCTCTGTCTGGACAGTTCTCATTGCCCCGTTCACATAGACCCACCCAAAGACGGAAAAAAAAAAAAAACGAAACCTCTTGAGCAATATACACTAAACTGAGCATGTGCAGAGTGACTCCTAGAGCTTTGTACTATTAGCAGATGGATTGGGGGGTAGAAGAAGGGGAGAATCAGAGAAGACAGGTTCAGACAGCCTTTTTACACAATGCAGAGGATTAACCCCTTAGTTTCCACAGTGAGTATAACAAGCATGCTTTACTGCATATACAGACTGATTTTACTGTTGTTGGTTTAGTAACACTTTGAAGCTGACAGCTGTAAGTATCCATGTCAGTGCTTTATAGTTTGCCTCTGCCCCTCTGTTGTACAGCTCAGCCTCTGGCAGGATCAACAGGTAATATAATTATGGTATAGGGGAGACGCAGAAAAACAAGGACGACTTGTTAATACTAGTGACAGACTGTATTATATATGTCATTTTAGTTTTTTTCTGGTATTCTATTTTATCACTGAGAATTGTACACCTTGATGCAGAATCATTGTGGGACACGATTGATCCCACCCACTTTTCATTGAAAAACGTAGCATGAGTGCTGATGTATTTTGTCGGCTGCATTAGTAAGTTCCAACACTGACACTACAGATTGCCCATCCATGAGGAGACTTGTGCCTGTCTGGGCTTTGCTAAGCCAAGACGATGCCCTTTTTGTATTCTATAATTCTACGGAATAAGCCAGTAAAATATTAGTTATATGTTTATATATGAGCAAGCTGTATGCTATGGAGCACTCCATAGACACATACAGCAGCTCGGCCCCACCCCTGCTCCCTTCTCACAGGATTTGATTGACAGCAGCAGGAGCTAATGGCTCCCACTGCTGCCTTTATTATGTAAGTGTGCCCATCAAAAAATATATGGTTACAATGTATAAAAAAAAAAAAAAAAAAAATGTAAGTATTGGATAGGTAGGGAATGTTTAATACCCCTTTTGGGTTTTAACTGCTGTCTGCATCGCATTCAACAGTCAACTGTAATTGCTGTCTGTGTTTTGTAGACCCCATGGCAGTGAGTGGTAATCCACATATAGACAGTTGTCAGCAAAACCAGTGTCGACATTGGAAGATTTACCGTGAACGATAAAGTTTAGATTTGCACCACTTTCAGTGGATAATGGTAGGCAGGACACATGGTGACTGTGAATCTCCGCAGCAGGGACACGGACATCCAATAAAAACCTAATGGGTTTTAACCTTTCCTAAACAACAAAGTTTTGTTTTTTGATACAAAGTAATGTTACTTTGCTTTTCCAGATGGTTGTAACACTTTTGTCTTTTTTCTCTTCAAGGTCGCACGGGTAGATACACTCTTATAGAGAAATGGAGAGACACAGAGAGACACTTGGCTCCCCATGAAAATCCAGTGATTTCAATAAACAAGTGGGGTCAGTACGCCAGTGATGTGCAGCTAATTCTGCGACGTACGGGACCATCGCTCAGCGAAAGACCCACATCAGACAGTATAGCTCATGTACCTGAACGGACTTTGTACAGGCAAAGCCTGCCCCCTCTTGCCAAGCTACGGCCGCAAAATGACCGCTCCATAAAAAGGAGAGAGCCAAAGAGGAAATCGTTGACCTTTAGCGGTGGGGCCAAAGGACTCATGGACATTTTTGGCAAAGGCAAAGAATCAGAATTTAAGCAAAAGTTGCTTAATAGCTGTAAAACCACAGCGGAGGAACTGAAAAAGCTGATACACCTACAAACAGAGAAACTTCAGTCTCTTGAGAAGCAGCTGGACTCCAGTGAGGCTGAGATCCGATACTGGGAGCAGAAGTACAAGTCGAGTTTGGAGGAGGAAATCGGAAAACTAGAGCAAAAAGTCAAACGTAACGAAGTTGAGATTGAAGAAGAGGAATTCTGGGAGAATGAGCTTCAGATTGAAGTGGAAAATGAAAAGCAGCTGAAGGAGCAGTTGCAGGAGATGACCCAAAGGATGCTCCAGTGTGAGAACCAAAAAAAGGACTACCAAAACAAAATCCACACAATTGAAAGTGGCATTGAGGCAGAGAAACTACAGAGGGAGGTGCAAGAGTCCCAAATCAATGAAGAAATTGTCAGGGGGAAAATTGAGAAAATCAAAGGAGAGCTCGAAATCCAAAGTCAAGAAAGCCAACGACTGGAAAACGGCGGCAAGGCAGTGGAGAGGTCACTGGGACAGGCAGCGAAGCGTCTCTTGGTGAGTCAAGAAAACTTATTTCACTGGGGTCAAGAACAGAATCCAAGAGGTTGAGTTGTGTGGGCTAGTATGGGGCACCTACATCTGGAATTACACTAGTAGTAAATATCTATGAAATGGTTTTTCATGCTGCCCAGACATAACACAAATCAGGTGAAAGGTACAAGTTTATTGCAAAAAAGTATAACATAAAAAAGAATAAAATGTATTTTTTATGTTCTACTTTTTTTGCAATAAACTTGTACCATTTAACGGGTTTGTGTTCGGTCTGGGCACCATGAAAATCCATTTCATAGATATTTTCTACGACTCCTAGTCACTGAGGTCAAGGGGTAAAAATCCTAATACCAGGGCTGAAAGCAATGGATTAGTTATGCTTTTGTAGGTTTTAGGCTTATGCTTCCTAAGTCAAGCAGTAGACAGTTAAATAAACAGTGTTTTTTCTCAAGACTTTGAAGGCAACATGAGAAATGAATAAGCAGCAGGTCGTCTAGTTTAGCAAGTCATGTAGGAACATTTGTCAAAAATTTTATTCACCTGCTGTTCAAAGCAATATCATGTTCAAAGTTTAGCTTCAAGGCGGCCCATGATGTCAGACAGTTTTCCTTAACAGCAAGCTTGTACAGCTTGAAGACCTCCATTTTTTATGTAGATCTGAACCAAATTACTAAGATCTCTCATGAACTGTAAAAGTAATGACATTTCAAAAGTTGGTTTTAATCTTATTAAATTTGTAGCTTTCCTCAAAAGAATACATGGTGATTAAAGGTCTTTGCCTTGAAGGTCCTTGTTATGGGGTGACAATTGTCTCCCAGTCATGTTCCTCCATGGTCACCTGTCACATGAGCCTGCAGATGTCCATGCCAACACCCATTGTGAAGGCATGGTTTACCATTGTCGCTATTAGGATGCTGGTCCAGAGCAATGATGGGCTGCAAATGTTGGAGAGTGCATGTAGACAGGAATTGGCTAAAAAAGGCTGGAGGAGAACATAGAACTGATAATGCAAGCAGGGATAAACACATTATGAAAACAGAATTTCATGAAATGCTATCAATTGTTTGATACATAGTGCTTCAGCAAACTAAATGTCATCTAGTTGTGCTTTTCCTCTACTCTTACTATGGCCAACAAAGGCATTTTTCCTTTTCTACTAGTTTTGTCATCAATGTTCTCTTGCTCTTTGGAGGTTTGACAAAAATAGGTGAACACCATATTTTATAAAAAAACAAGCCATGGTAATTGTTTGCTTTTTCAAAAGAACTGTCACCCATTTAGGGTTTAGATGTAAAAGTCCCAGAATGAGTACATTCTGCAACTATGATGTTCATAAACAGGGAACATGAATGCATAAAGTGTCGTTTCGATAAAGAAATGGCACGTGCCAAAAACTTTCTTTTAATGGTTGTTCAAAAACTCTGCCACCCATCAGTCTTGTTAGTGATGAAGGTCTCAGTCAAAGATTAGCTTTAAGGCAACCTATGATGCTGGTCTTTCCTTTGCAGCAAGCTTGGACACCTTACAGTCCTTCAGACATTTAGTAGCCGAAACCAAACAAAATCCAAAAAAGTGTTGTTTTGCTCTAGAGGAGCTACAGGACTGTTACCCAAAAAAGTAGGATCACCATTGGTCCCTAGGCAGTCATTAATCATACATACATGTGGGCTTGTTTTGAAGCTCCAGTTGTGGCAGTCATCATAGTCTGAATTTTCTACATAGCCCAGTTATGGATCTTTGACACCATGGGGTGATTTACTAAACCTGGAGCATACAAAATCTGGTGCAGCTCTGTATAAAAATCAGTCAGCTTCAAGTTTTTGTTTTTGGTCAAAGCTTAAAGGAGAAGTGAGCGCAGGGGGGTTCAGAGCACGGGGGGCAGTAAATAACAATCACCGCTCTCTGCTCAGAGCGGCTGTGAGAACTCAGCGATCAGTGGTCATGTGATCACTGAGTTCTCACACTTAAAGTCAGTGGGGGACAGATGCAGCAATTGGACTGATGCTGCATCCACCTAGGTAAGTAAAATTTGGGGGAGGGGGCCCCCCCAAGCTTCTCTTTTAATTGACAAAAAGTATTGAAATAGGAACTCACTGTGTTGCTTGAGTAGCTTTAGTACAGACTCTTGGTAGATGCAGGATTGTTTTACGATCATTACATACTTTGTCTTCTCCTTTTCAGGAACGCGAGCAGGAATTGGAACAGCTGACCAAAGAACTTCGCCAGGTCAATCTTCAGCAGTTCATCCAGCAAACTGGCACTAAGGTCACCGTGCTTCCAGCAGAGCCCAGCGAGACTGAATTCCCCCAGCCAGAAAAAGGTACATACCTAATGTTGTTATGCTTCAAAGATGTTCAGGAAACCAACCTCAGTAGGTTTATTTAAAGAAACCTGCCAGCCATTTTACATTTTTAGTAAAAATCGCATCTAGGAGCCAGGCAATCTACATCGGTGCAGCTGTCTCATTTAGACTCTTTCCTGCTAAGGGTTTAACTTCTTCCCTACCGCACTATAGCTGAAAGACGGCTACAGCGCAGTTGTCTAGTTCTGGGAGGACATCCATGGACATCATTCTAGAACACGCCGCCTGCGCGCCCCCAGTGCCGCCTGTGATCGCTTTTTTCTACAGACACAGCTGATCACGTGATACGGTAAACGGCCAATCACAGCGGCCTTCCAATGACACAGCAGATCACCAGGCAAATACAGTTGCCGGTTATCGGCTGCACTTTCCTCATGCTGTCACAGTGCGAGGAAAGTACTGCCGATAACCGGCAATTGTCAGAGAAGTGATCGTCACTGATCATCAGGGCACTGATCAGTGCCCTGATGTTCAGTGCCGGCCACCTGTGCCCATCAGTGCCGCCCACCTGTACCTATCCGTGCCACCTATCAGTGTAGCCTCATCAACGCACATCAGTGAAGGAGAAAAATTAGCTGTTTGCAAAATTTTATAATAGAAACAAAGAAAAACTTTTTTTCCCCTTAATTTTTGTTCTTTTTTGTTTGTAGCGCAAAAAATAAAATGCCCAGCAGCGATTAAATACCACCAAAAAAAGCTCTATTTGTGTGGAAAAAAATGCTAAAAATTTCATATGGGTACAGTGTTGCATGACCGCGCGATTGTCATTCAAAATGCGACAGCGCTGAAAGCTGAAATTGGCCTGGGCAGAAAGGGGGTATAAGTGCTCGGTAGACAAGTGGTTAATTGCCTTGAATTCTCCTACATTTACAGCTAAGCCCAACCCTCCATCTCCTGTTCAGCAAGAGAAGCATGGTCCAATTTGGGAGGAAACCATGGGTAGGCCCTTAGGTGGCAGAACCAGAGTCAGAGAGGCACACATTGCCTTTCAAAATGGACTAGGATTGGACTAGGCAAAAACTTCTTAAAGGGCATATCCATGCCATAAAAACACTGTCTAGTTCACTTGTGTAAACAGTTCAATGGTTTTACAATTCAGCTAGTTTAATTACCTTAAATTCTCCCACATACCTGCTGAAAGCTAAAACTTGGCTTGCAGTGGAAGTACTTGCATTAAAGTGGTAAAGAGCAGCAATCTGCTATTCCATTGGTGGCCAAGTGCAAAGCAAGGAAGAAAAAAATAGTTGCACTCATCATATTAAAGGGGATGGGAGCAGGCACAAGGTGGAGTGTCAGTTACTCGGCTTGTATATTGGATGTTGTCTTGAGGCAAAGAATAGCATGGTAAAGTATTCGCTGCATTTTAAATAGAAAGAAGTTCGAGGGAACCAGTGGTGTTTTTGTTCAAAGCTTGCAGCTCCTGTATATCTCTTTGATTAGATCCCTAGTTTGTTTTTTGTTTTTTTTCTGGCTGTGTGCTATTGGTAAAATTTCCCCTCATTTCCTCTCCCAGTCACAGCAAGAGGAAGAAATCTCTCCAAAGTGAGAATAAATCTCTTTTCTGACAGCTGTCACTAAAGCAGGTGTCCCCATTGGAAGAATTTACTTCCAAATTCTTGCACAGTTTTACAGGCCCTTCTCCTGTACTGATATTACTGCCTCTGATTTCACTGCACACTGTGAGCTTCTCACAATGCTTCTGTGCAGTCCCTTTCATTCATTGGACTTCAGTCATGGAACATTATGTTTGGGGCGTTACCTAGGGTGGTCTGAATGCAAATACATTCTACTTAAGAACACATTTACTCTTCCAAGCAAAGGTCCTCCCATCAAGACATTTTGATATTTGCATAACTCCTCCCAAGAGTCAGTCCACTGCTTGCATCAGGTCTAAGGAGTACTGGAGCAGGATGCTGTGATGTTTTTTGAGAAGCTATAGACACCGCCCTGCTGGTCCCTCCCACTGGCTATAATCTGCTTGCATTGCATAGAGAAGCACAGAGACTAAGTGATGACATCATGTAGTCTAAAAGTATGTAATAAAATGGAAAAGTTGTAATAAAAAGGAAAAGTATCTAAAGGATTAGTTTACCATTCAATGATATAAAAAAAAAACCCATAAACGTTATAGCTCTGTCTGTACATTAACCACTTGCCCTGCAGAGGATTTACCCCCCTTCCTGAACAGGCTGCGTTATTTTAACTGACAATTGCGCGGTCATGCAATGCTGCACCCAATTTAAATGTATGTCCTTTTTTCTCAACAAATGGAGCTTTCTTTCTGTGATATTTGATCGCATTTGTGTGTTTTTTTTTTTTTGCGCTATAAACAAAAAAAGACCAATCATTTTGGAAAAAAAAAAACTATGTTTTTGACTTTTTGCTATTAAACATGTCCAGTGAAAAAAAATTAAAAAAATCAAATTTCATCATAAATTTAGGCTAAAATGTATTCTGCGACATGTCTTTGCTAAAAACAAAATCCCAATACATGTAAATGAATTGGTTTACGTGAAAGTTATAGCGTTTACAAATGGCGGTATATATACTGGAATTCTTTTTCTTTTTTTTTTTCTTCACCTAGTAATAGCAGCAATCAGTGACTTATAGCGGGACTGCGGCGGGCATTCTGATACTGGGGGGAACTGACTTGGTGTCACTGACATTCCCAGTGACAACAAAACAGTGATCAGTGCTAATAAAAAGCACTGACACTGCACTAATGGCACTGGGCAGGAAGGGGTTATGGTGGGGCAATCAAAGGGTTAACTGTGTGCTGTTTTACTATATGGGCTGTGTGTTTCACTGTAAGCACACTGCTTTGTATGGCTCTGCTATGCAGAGCCATACAAAGCAGTGTGCTGGAGCTGACCGGGGAGAGATCTGTATTGTTTACATACAGGTCTCTCCCCCGTCAGAAATACTTGGAGATTGCTGGGTGCTGGCGTGGAATCACCAGCTGGCACCCTGTGATTGACAGCCGAGGCCGCAAATGGCGGAAATGGTAGGGAGCGCGCAGCACACGCACGCCCCCTACCTGAAACTGCAAAAGTGTGTGTGTGTATGATGTGATTTTGCCGCCCTGTAGCAGTATTTCTGCTATGGGGTGGCGCGGAAGCGGTTAAAATGCTGTTCCAGTTTTTAGAAATTACCATAAAGCCAGCCAAAAATGGACCAAAATATATGTATGGGCAGGCTGATTGTAACCAAGTCAATCCATTGAATGACTTGGTTACAACCAGCCTGTCAGATTTTTTTTTACATTCAATTACTGCCAACAGCCACAGCTGCTAACAGTAACAATTGTGTTTTTCCTGCTGGGAAGGTGCTCTGAGCCCCTCTCACTAGCAAAGCACATTAGCACTGTGGGTGTTGATGGGGGAATCAAGCTATTTTCTCTTCTTCAGTCCGTGATGGAAGGAAAGAAAATTGAGTAATCTATGGGCTGTTTTACTCTGGACTCAGCTTCTACTGTGTGCTGTGTCCTGATGTGCAGCACTAACACCTCAGGAATGAGCACTCAGCTATGAGAACACAGCTTGCCTAACCACGCATGTGCACTGCACTCTGTCTTACTTGTGTAGCGGTGAGCTTGGCTGATAAGCAAGAGAGCAGACTGCGCATGTGTGGTTAGGCAAACCAAGTTTTTGTATTCTTCAGGATTTCTTGGGGCCGTGGATCCGAATGGTCGGCCCATCTTTCCATAAGCAGATTAAAATTCAGCTTTGAATTATTCATCCAGAGAAATCAGACCTGTATCTTACACTTTTTCAAGGCCAATGACTGAAGCCAGGGGAGCACCATTTTCAAAAGCAAAGCAGCTTCTAAACTTCTCATCAAAGATTCTTTACACAAGAATTTTTAAACACATTCTCAAATATTTGTAGTCCCTTATTGTTCCAGTGTCAGGGTGTTATAAGGACAGAAAGTGGTGAGATGCCTTTCTGATGGAGACAAAAAGCAACAAACACATTTATTTAGCAGTATGGGGAAGGGTCAGGTTTTAATTGTGCGGTGTCGTCTTATCCCTGTTACAGCCCCCCCCCCTCTCTCTCTCTCTCTCTCTCTCTCTCTCCCCCCCTCTCCCCCCCCCCTCTCTCTCTCTCTCTCCCCTCTCCCCCCTCTCCCCCCCCTCCCCCCCCCTCTCTCTCTCTCTCTCTCTCTCTCTCTCTCTCTCTCTCTCTCTCTCTCTCTCTCTCTCTCTCTCTCTCTCTCTCTCTCTCTCTCTCTCTCTCTCCCTCTCTCCCCCCCCCCCTGGTGTCACTGGGACAAGATATGAAGGGAAATCTTACCAAAGAAGAACTTGACAATTTTTGATTTTTACTTACTGTATCAAATACCTAAAAAGAAAAAAAATGTTTTGATCAAAGTTGGGCTTTAGGCTATGGACATTTTGTATTTTCAAGCCATTTGTGGCCTAGCAATCTAATTATTGATCTATCTGTCTATTATTCTATCTGTAATTATTAATCTATCCTTGGGGTCTCCAAACTTTCCAAAGAAAGGGCCAGTTTACTGTCCTTCAGACTTTAGGGGTGCCCAGTGGGAGTAAACTATGCCCGATCTTTGAAACTGGGGGGGAGATATAGTTGGCACCAGTAGGTGCAAGTGGAAGGAATCATGCCCCATCGTTGGTATCAGTGGAAGGAATAGTGCCCCATTGTTGGAATTGCCCCAGTTGGTAGAAGGAATTATGCCCCATCGTTGGTATCGGTAGAAGGAATTATGCCCCATCGTTGGTATCAGTGGAAGGAATAGTGGCCCATTGTTGGTACCAGTGGAAGGAATTATGCCCCATCGTTGGTATCGGTAAAAGGAATTATGCCCCATCGTTGGTATCAGTGGAAGGAATAGTGCCCCATTGTTGGTATCAGTGGAAGAAATTATGTCCCATCTTTGGTATCAGTGGAAGGAATAGTGCCCCATTGTTGGTGTCAGTGGCAGGCATAATGCCTCAAGGGCTGGGTAAAGTCAAACAAAGGGCTACATCTGGCCCTAAGGCTGCAGTTTGGAGACTATTGATCTATCCAATCCATCTGTCCTCCTCGATCTCTAGCTATGAATATATCTTCCGGTATGCAGTGAATAAGTGTTTGTACATGGGCAGTAGTTCAGTGGGGGGCCCTATAATGGTTTGTGTTTCGGAATCCTAGATGACTTTATCTGCCACTGCACCCCTTTTTATAATGTTTGCTTTTTTTGTTTACCTTTATTTATTATTTATTCCCATGTCTTTTTTTTTTTTTTTCCCCTTGTTCAGAGCCAACCTTCCAGTCTGGATCCCTAAAAAGGCCAGGCTTTTCCCGACAACTTCCAAGTAACCTGCGTATTCTCCAAAATGCCTTGTCATCGGGATTCAACCCAGAGGGTATCTACGTATAACTTCACAGCACTTTCAGCTCGACTTGGCACAGCCAGAGGACCGTTCATACTTCAGCCACTCCGCTGAACAATATGGCTCCACTCTTGCTCTCAGTCGTACTCTTCACGTTCCGCTGCCTCTGTCCAAACAGCCCAGAGACTTTCCAGGAAAGCTTGACAGAGGATAAGTCAGCAAGTACGAGCCAATCGGACTTTGCTATCATCAGCAACACTTTTATAGCCTAACCTACTACAAAAATACTTTTTTTCTAAGTATTATTTCTTACAAATCAGCGTGGAACATTGTATAAGCTGGCGCACACGAATATTGAAAGTGGTATTATATATATACTTATCTATTTTTCCACTTAGCAATTTTGTATCTCATACATGGATGAAAAGATAATGTATTTGTTATATATTTCATGTCCTGTATTTCATTTTCATTTTTGTCTTCGATATTCAGCCACAGCAGTGTTACTACAAGGCTCCAGCGGGTCTTATTATTCATGGAGGTCATTGAGGAGCAAAAACTGAAATCGTGTTAATTTGTTGTTTAAATCCATAGGATAGTGAGCTCCTAAGGAAAAATGAATGATGTCATATGTGAGCAATTATTCTAATGTTTCCTTCATCCCACCTACTGTCTTTGATAACCAAGCCAAAGACGATTGAAAGTAACTAAGCTAAAAGGACAGTTAGGAAAGGAAATTGGAAGGGGGAGATACACTGGAAGTTCAGCAAATATATAAATTTTTTTTTTTTTTTATTTAGGGATAAAATCAAATTTGTACTCTAAAAAGACAATATCCAGTGTACAGTATATAGCTACAGGGATGAAACACTTGATCATAATTAGTTAAGAGCAAAATGACTGATCCTCTTTAGGGAGATTCAGCCTCTTTATTTTTCTCGGTGACTTGGTGAACTTTATGGAAAATCCTTTTACTATTGTCACCAGAACAAGAGGCATGGAGAAATCTTCCAGTGGGATCCCCTGTTCCTGGAACAAGCGTCTTAGAGGGGAACTCCCCTTTCCTCTTGCATCTGTGGGACAGGAAGTGATTGGAAATTTCCTCAAGGACAACACACTAGGGCATTCCAATATCTTCTTCATTCCAAGAGGACCTGTTATGCTATATTTAGTCACTTTTCTTTGTTGATAAATCAATGCATTTCTCTGTTATTTTCATTACCTGTATACCTATATTCATTGTATCCTGTCTCTTAGCAAATGAATAAGTAAACCACTGATACAGGAGAGGTAATAAGATAATGAAGCTAATGTCATTCCCATTAGCCTTATAATATAGACTTCAAGGTGTGTTCCACTCCTGAGATCCATAGACTCCTCCTTCCAGGTAGGGAGCTGCAATCTCAGGTGCTGTGGGTGAAAGACGGCACCATAGCTTGCCTATTTTACCTAAAAGCAGCATTATTAGTGGTGTTCTTGATGAATAGACAGTCTACCAAGGAGTTGTTCGTTAATGGAAAGGTGTGGCCTGTCTGGATTGCCACACAAGAAAGATCCACTTTTTTCATCTAAAATGGACAATACCTTTAAGAACGTTATGAATGTTTGCCAAGCAATAATCCACATCAGGCAATTTTTTTTTTAGAAAGATTCACCAACTGTTTGAAGCATATACTTGTTAATGACAACTTTGGTGATTAGATGTTTGACACCAGCTTAAGTGATGCATTATGTTTGCTGCTTTGGCTTTAGAAAAAACGAAATGCTGAGCCTCGTCGTACTTTACCATAATCCTCTGTTTCGGCAGTGCTGTTAACTGGGCCATCCTAGTCTAATTGCCTACGGCTATCATCCAGCTACATACAGTTAAAGGGTCAGTTTAGCCCGAAGTGATTTTTTTTTTTAGCTACTGTATAGGTGGAGTCCGGTGGGCTGGGTCAGCCCTGGCTTCCATGTCAATGTCAAACAGTAAAATCTCCATGCCATATTTCCTGACTCTCATTCTGTCCACCTGGGAGTTTTGGGTGTCCCTTGCCCACATTGTGTCCCAGCTCCTCCTGTTACATTTTCCATAATATAAAATAAGTAAAAAATCTAGGAGGGTTGGTGGGAACCCCTCATTATGGCCACAGCAGGTGTGCTAACAACAGAAACTCAGAGCAGGGATGGTGGAAGCCCCTCATAATGGGCAAAGCTGGTGTACAGACCCAGAACCTCAGAGCAGGAATGGTAGGAACCCCTCATAATGGGCACAGCAGATATGCAGAGCCTCAGAGCAGGGATGGTGGGAACCTCTCATAATGAGCACAGCAGACCCAGATCCTCAGAGCAGGGGTAGTGGTAGCTCCTCATAATGAGCACAGCAGACGTGCAGACCCAGAACCTCAGAGCAAGGGTGTCGAGAATCCCTTATAATGGGCACAGCAGATGTACAGACCCAGAAGCTCAGAGTAGAAATGGTAGGAGCCCTGCATAAAGGGCACAGCCAGTGTACAGGCCCGGAACCTCAGAGCAGGGATGGTGGGAACCCTCATAATTAACACAGCAGGTGTGCAGGCACAGAGATGATGGAAGTCTCTCGTAATGGACACAGCAGGTGTGCAGACCTGGGAACTTGCAGTTATCTCACTCAATAGAGTTCCAATAAAGTTCCCAAGAGATGTAAAAAAACTGTCAGGAGGCCATTGTAATTAAGGAAGTCATCTGTGAAATGTATGGAATGGGTCAACATGCAGGTCTGGAGCCTCACCATCCTAAAATCCCTAATGAATCCAAAGGAAAGGGTTTTTTTTTTTGCACATGAGTACATACAGTACATACAGTACATTTTACTTTATACATTTAAACATCTGTAAAATTGCATTGCTGTGCAATATATAATATATATTTTTCTAATTAGGATTCTTTCCTATGGTCACTAAGAATAAAAAAAATGCTGTGCAAAGTGCAGTACCCCAGAGCACTGTAACTGATCAGGATCCAGTAAGCTAGAATCTGATTGGCTGGAATTGCTTCAGATATTTTGTGCTCCCAATTTGCTCTCACACACTGCCTTAGTAAATAAACCCCTGTGAAGCCACCATGTCGGTGCCCCTATTTTATTTTTGCACATCAGTCATTCACGTTGCTATGGTTTGGTGCCCCATTTAAATGCCAACTCAGCTTCACATTGCTGGAACCTACAATCTGGTTTTATCATCTGTCCTCCCTCTTTTAGAGTAGGGAGCTTTGCCAAATGACAATACACAACCTGCAGCTCTCCCATCACCACCTCCATAGACAGATCTTTCAATGCACCACTATCATAGCCACTTGAATAAGATGTGAGAGTAGGGTGCCTGTAGACTAAAAAGATCTTACCTTGGATCTAGCGCTAGCAGTGAACACTTGGAGCCAAAGATTGGCGGCTTCCACCCAAAACTTCCCACACTTTGACATGGAGCAGGTTCTCTAGATTACCAAGTATGAGCCATTGCAGTTTTTAACATTGTCATTGCTCTTTGCGCTGCTTTATTGAATATGACCTGATTTTTATCACAAGCACACTAACTGAAGGAGCTGTATAAATATAGGTATGTGTGTGTTTTTATATATAAAAAATGAGCGATGAATGGACTTTTCTGCTTTCTGATTGGATGAAGCAACTTGCTGTATATACTGTGTACTTTGGATACGCTCGGAAACTGTGAATGATACAAGCTCTAGCACAGCTTTTGCTTCAATGCAAGTTAAAAGAAAAAAAACCTCTGTATTATATGTAATTATCTATTTTCTGATCTTATCCATACATTGTTACTTATTGCTATGAAATGCAGAAATTTAATTGATTTGTTGCATACAATATATTACCCCACTAGTTTGGGGGGGGAAAAAAACGTGCATTTTTGTTTTTACTTTCTTGAATTTGATCTCTTTGCAACAATATACACTGATCAGCCTTTTCATTATGGCCACTGACAGGTAAAGTGAATAACATTGATTATCTCATTACAATGGCACCTGAAAAGTGGGTGAGATATATTAGGTAGCAAGTACACATATTGTCCCTGACCAGGGGCGGACTGACCATTTGGAAACTCGGGCACTGCCCGAGGGCCGGGGTCAGTAGGGGGCCCCATGAGATGCCCCTGGTACCTTTTTCATAGGCTTTTTTGAGTTTGGACACAGGGGCCCCTATGATCCCCTATTGCCCGGGGGCCCCATGAGTTGTCAGTCCGCCCCTGTCCCCAACGTTAATGTGATGACAGTAGAAAAAATGGGCAAGCATAAGGATGTAAGCAACTTTGGCAAGGGCCAAATTGTGATGGTTCTTTGACTGGGTCAGAGCAACTTCAAAACTGCAGCTCTTGTGGGATGTGTAGTGGTCAAGACCTACCAAAAGTAATCCAAAGAAGCAAAACCAGCAAATCTTCAACAAGGTCATGGACAGGCAAGACTCATTGTTGTACGTGGGCTGGCCTGTGTAGTCCAATCCAATAGAAAAGCCACTGTAGCTTAAATTGCTGAAAAAGCTAATGCTGGTTCCAATGGAAAGGTGTTGTGAAACACACAGTTCATCGCAGTTTGTTGTGTAAGGGGCTGTGTAGATCAGTCAGGGGGCCATGCTGACCCATGTCTACAGTCAAAAGCACCAACAATGGGCACATGAGCATCAGAACTGGACCGTGGAGCAATGGAAGAAGGTGGCCTGGTCTGATGAATTCAAGAACGGTTTAAGGAACCCCACGAGCTTGAGATGTTGACTCCAAATTATCCAGAGCTCAGTCCAATCAAGCATTTTTGGGATGTCCTGGAAAAAAGTGTGATGGAGGGGGGTGAGAGTGACCAAAACTTTGCAAAATGTTATATCGTAAATATGGGTATAACATGATGCTAAAGCTGAACCTATCCTTTAACAAGGATGCACCCAACCGCTTTAAGTCAGTGGCACTATGCTGTGCTTGTTACTTCAGACACTGATTCTTTTTGCCAAGGTAAGCTGACTGTATTTTGCTGGACATGTAGGTATGTAAAGGAGACCTGTCATTTCTTTTCTATTTTAATGAAT